GACGGAGAAAGAGAAGTGGGAGTAAGAGGAATGTAGGAGGATGGTGATCATGTTAATGATGATGATATTAAAAATGCTGATGACGCTGATGATAATGATGCGAAGACGTGGAATATGAATAGGGGTAATGGTAGTAGTAGCATTATTAGTATAAACTGTATAAGTACTTTTTTGTTGTAGTACTAGTAGCAATTGTAGCAACTGTAGTAACAACAGGAGAGCGAGAGAAAGAGGGTAAGATAAAATTTTTAAAAAAGCAGCAGAGCCTGATTGGAAGACGGTCAGGGTTGTGGGAAAGTGGGAGTGGGAGGAGCAGGAGTGCTGGAGGGAAAAGAAGGGGAGGGCGGCGAGCGGGCGAATGGACGTGGGGCGGAGAAGAAGAGTGACTAAACGAGGATGGCATTGCTGACGAGGCTGAGCGGTAATTGGAAAGGGGGTAAGGGGAAGGACTGCCGGCGAAATTAGCCCCAGCAGTGAGGACGCTCTTCGTCGTGGTGACTGTAGCTGCGGCAGAAGAGCAGTAAAAACATGTCCGGCAGGCGTGGTTCGCTGACGTCTGCCTCCTCGTCACGGACCCCCCTCCGCCACCGCCACCGCCCACGCCACCACCAGCACGGGCCCTCTTCTTCAGGCCGGTGGCAGGCGTCAATCAGGCCGCCGGTGCAAGTACGGGGCTGACGACTGGCGTCCAGAATGACAGTCTGTCGGTTAGTCATGTCTGTCCGACCGGTCTAGCAAAGCTCAATATAACCTGACCCCCTCGACCTCCTTCCTCGTAGTCGTGGCGTCTGAGATGAACCCGATTGCCGGAGGAAACGGGACAAAGTTGAAAGATGTCAGATACGCCGGACAGGATTGGACGAGATCGGAAGAGACGAGATGATATCGGACGGATTTGTGCAATGCCGACAAGACCGGGCGAAATAAGACGATTGTTGGGTCGACTTCCATTTCATATAAAAGTGAATGAAGAGGAAATCCGTTTGTCGATCTCGCCAGAAGATGACGCATGGATCGCGTTGTATTGCAGCCGTTTGGCTTTTATACGACATTCATGTTGACGCAGTCCACCAGACATCGTACCTCGTTTCGGCTGAAAACGGACTGAACTTTCGTCCATCATTCGATGGACATCTTCGGAGCTGGATCTTATTCTTGTAAAAGTGTCTCGTTAACAAACACCAAGTCAATAAGACAAGCTGGCTCTATATTACCTCTTATATAGACTCAATTAATCGAAATAACATTTAAGTGCCTAGAATGATTTAGTCAATCAC